CATCTGTCATTGTCCACAACTGCCGCCACCTATTGTTAACCACCCCCATCATACCTACCACCGCCACCACCCACCACCACAAGCACTTATTGTCGCCCACCACCAACATTGTAACCGTCCATTACCACAATTCATTATCGTCACAACCACCGTCATCGCTCCACTACCACCACTACCAACCACCATCATTGTTACCTACCACCACCCACACCCACTACTACCACCATCACTCACAACTGTCACCATCACCATGACCATCACCGCCCATCACAACCATCACCATTTCTAACTGTCACCATTGCCATCGCTCACCCCCACTATAACTAATTTTTAAATTTCTTTATCTCTCTTCTATATTTATCATTTAATTTTTGATATGAATACAAATATGTTTATAATTTACAATTTTTTTTATTACTACATGCCTTCAAGTACAAGCAATAACTATCTTACTATACTATAAAACAATCAAATTAGGGATGAGAGGTCTTGCGAAGGCTTCCCTCCCTAAATGCTAATTTATTAAAATTTTAAAATATTTAATTAGTTCACTCAAATCAAAATATTACATATGACCTTTGGAACCACTCCTGCTTTTTTTTTTTTTTTAACTATTACAAAATTTAAACTTTCAATCACCTTTCTTAATTATTTAAAATATAAATAAATATCATTTTAATACTAATAAAAATTATCCAGAGATATTATGGTAATAGAAGATTTGATAGTAAGGTGATAATAGAAAGAGAGAAGAAATTTCGTGCATCACACAGAATACCTATTTTTTTAAAACTATTTTAAATTTAAATTATCACTAATTTTTTCACTTTTTCATATTTAACAAAAAATATTTTAACTCATTAATAAGTAATTTTTCAGTAATATGAGGATTAAAAAATAGTGAAACATGGTGATGACACGAAAAACAAATTCCGTGCGAGCACCCGCTAGCATATATATATTTGCCTTCATAACCTATAAGATTCATAAAAATAATTGACCAATATAAACAGGCAAAATAGGGTACATCAGATTTTGGAAAACACCATCATCATAGGACAAAATTCCAAACTCCAATGTCAGAGTTTATTATGCTTCTAGACATGGATTCCTGTAAAAAGTCATCTTGGTTATTTCTTGTTACTACAGGGATCTTTCTTTGTTCAGCTACCAAGATGTCCAAACAACAAATTGATTAAATCTTCATAGGCATCAAAATGCCCCATAGTAATGGTGGTAACATAGTGAACTAGAGGTACTTGGCAAATTGACAAGACCTGAAGCTTGTTCCCAGCATGCACTGTGATGATCATAACCACTGCAACAAGCTACAAAGCACAATCTCAAAGAAACTTGACTCCGACAGAAAACAGAACCCGAAAATAACACATCAAACTGAAACTAGTAGAGAAGCCTTCAGCTTGAATCCAATTTTCCAATCCAAATTCATGGAGAAACTTCATTAGGATCACTCACTTTTCATGTCTTCCATTTGTAAGATATGGAATAAAACTACATATTTTTCACCATGAGATTAATTTCTAATGCTTACCACTGCATAAATAACAAAGACATCATCAAATTTCGGATACATAAATGATTACCTCACACTTTACTGCTTCTAGGAGACAGGAGTTGTGTCTCATTTAGCAGCAGTGAATAATGAAATTGGTCATTAATCAGAATGGCGATGATAATGAAATCCATGCCACTAACCCTTAAGCAGCAGCCACAAGCTTCCAGCCTCGGGTATAGAATTAAATCAAGAGCAACATCCCTCAAATGTTTATGTCGTATTTCAACAGTTCAATATCATCCTATAAAAGAATCTGCCTGGCAAATGTAAACATGGGAGTTCACCTTAGAACATCCTTCTTCCAACAAGCTTGGAAAAAAAAACGATTAACATGAGAAATTAGCATTAGGAGTTGAACACTATTCAACGACCAAAAGAGTAACTCAAGTTTCAAATTTAGATTTCTTCTCTTATTCTCTGGTGCAGGAGTGTGGCACACAAGCCTACCACTTCCTCTCCTAAACGTAATGCAACCTAAATAGTGAGCCAATGCTCACTGGTTCCAGAATTTTTTAACTTTTCTCTAGCCATTCAGTATTTGATGAGTGGATATCTGTCTGCTCCTTTTGAAAATTGGCCTCCGTTTCCAAAAAAAAAAGAATCAATAATCAGCTTCTTCCATTCTGAAGGATTGAAAGAATACTGCTATCAGTTTTTTATTCTGTTGAGAACAACTGTTGTATCAAAAAGTGGGACCAGGAAAGATGACAAGTGCTCTATCCCCTCAAGCGATACATTGCAAGCTAGAGTTCGAGACCAGCCTTTCCAAGACCAGCAAGGCCTCCTATCCCTTTCTTTCCCAAACCCTGCAATAGGCGAGAGTCTTGTTCACTGGATAAGACCTCTTAAAAAATTGTTGGATGGCTCTAGAATCAACACCTGGATTTGTTTACTATCCTACCAAAAGAAGCCCAAAATGAATTGAGAAAACTAGAATAACGAATGCTTCCCAAACTTGAGATGAATTATTCATTCTTGACCTACCCAATTGTAGACCATAAGAATCAAGAGGTTTCTACTCAATGACAAATTTTGATGATTCAGAGGAGTCCATAGATTCTATACCGCTGGGCATAAAAAACATAGCCACAAACTATTTAAGCTTATAATCTATTTGCAGTTGTATATTACCTCCACACTTTTAATCAATTTTCAGCAGACCCTAGCAACGAGGGTGGGAGGCCATGAATAAACTCCAATCACCCAATCTAGACCCTTCCAAGGGTGGGTGGACCCAATCATGAGGTCAAGATTACGCAGTTGACCCCTCCAAGCGTACTGCCTAGGAAATAATCTGTCCATGCAGAAAATCATCTGACGCCCTTACCCTTTGCAAGAACTGGTATATAAAACTGAATCTCAAGCAACAGAAAGAATTTCATTTGGAAATATAATTAGTGGGCGGAGGGAGATCCTGTCTCGTAATCTCAAGGGCACAGGTGGGCCAGAGAGATCTTGTGTTGTGATCTGACACTTTGTGTCTCATTTGCTGTTAAGGGTCATCAAGAATGGATATTACAAGAAAAATCTAACACAAGCCTGAGGAAACTCTTAACTCTAGTATTTTGAAGATAAATGTCAGGCCATTAGATTAGCTCTACAGCTTACTGGACACCACAGCCATATTCAGAAGTTGTGTCAACATTTTTTTTCAAGGTATATCAAAGATGAATACACTAAATTTCCCCCCAAAAGGAGTCTATTTGTTTTCTGCAAACAAACCTGAAATAAAATTAGTTTAAATACAATCCCAAAGAATATCACTGGAAAATGTGTCATTCCTTAAAAGGTCATACCTAGCACACAAATCTTTGGCCTATAGCGGAGTCTAGGAGAGACAAGTCCTGCACAATCTTTCCCCCAATTTAGAGAAGCTAATTCTCGGATTCAAACTCACAACGTAATGCTTAGGTGAACGAGCACTTACCCATGTGCCATTCCCACATTCTCATTACAATACTATAAACTGAATGGTTCAGTAATAAAATCATGACATTGCCTTTTTCCATTAAAACAAATCATATTTAGGTAATATGATTGCTTGGGTATAACAAAAACACCAAACTGAAACTCAAGCAATGTGGTGTTAACATTGAGCGGACAAACAAGAGTCCAGATGCAGTATTAGCCATTATATCTAAGGGTATGGAACTATAGCTGTGTTTACAGACTTAACGAGGCATACTTTTGCACTTTATGTATGACCTTCTATGTATCTCGTCTTTATATTATGTTGCAATATATAACTTAATCCACCATAAAAATTCCTTAAGCCATTGCCACAAAGTATCTGCATCAGCTGGTTAACATTTAGTGTGTAATTGGCCCTATGTGGTAAACCTGTACTTAATGCATCATACAGACGATTACAATAAATATTTAGATATCACAGCATTAAAGTTCTCTTGATAAGAATAGCTAAGAATACAACAAAACCTCAACCCAGCATTCTACAAATATGAGCTCGCTTGTTTTAAGAAATAATTTGAAAAAAAAAACAGAATTTTACTAATCCAAAGAAAAAGAAAAAAATAAAGAACAGTTTTCCACAATAAACAACATCACACAAATTTATTCTCATAATATCAGTTACCTTTTAAATACATGCAACACATCATTAATTATTAAGAGTGTAGTTTTTGTCTTCTTGTCCACTAGGTATGTATGATTCAGGCAACTGACTCGTTTTCTTTTACCGAGTGCTTGGTCATTTTCTCCATGCTGTGAGGCATCCCAGGCACATGTTTGTGTGCCACATGAAAAGCTAGAGGTGGAACAGGGTTGTTGCGAAAAAAGACTTTAGAGGTAAAATGATCCCAAATGATCTTATTATTTTCATCCCAAACATTTCAAGTTTAACCCACAAAAGTTCTTCATCATTCAAAATTTTTAGAAAGTGATCTACGAGGAGCATAGTTGCTCACGGTCTTTGATTAAAGAGAATTTTGAAATACCAAAGATAAGTAAACAAGACATTGAATTTCAGTAAAGTTACCACCAACGAGTGTGTTCAACAACACGTGTGTTCACCAACTAAAACGTAACTTTTAATCCAAGAATATCTTTAGCAAGTATGTACAACTTGAATTGAAGCTTCAAACTTTACTTGTCGAGACTAAGGCTCTGCCCAAGTGGTTTGCAATCTAATGCGGTATACTATGATTGACATTAGACTTAATCAAAGCCACAAGAGGCACAACATGAAAGAAACTAGAGATCTTTATTTGAACTAGATAACTACTTCCTGCAATTCTTAATTAAAGAGAGAATTCTATCAATAAAAGTGGATGCTCCATTTATGCACATCATAAAACTACTTTGTATACAGAAAACAAAATGGAGAAACAAGGAAACCCTAAAAGAGAATGTATAGAAGTGACAAGAAACATTTTACTGTTTTTGGTAAATGAAGTGCATAAAAGTGCAGAAACACAGCTCTCCTTCGTCAGAAACAATGAATTACCAATTAAATACTGCATAAAGTTAATGCAAAACCATAAAAAGAATAATTGGGTAACTCAGGAAGTTCTACTCAATGAAGTTAGATCACATACACCGAGATGCCAGACAAGGAGACTGTATCATTTTTGAGGTTAAAAGTAGAGAATAGAATATTGCATTAGTCTAAGAATTGATAAATGCATACCTTGGTGAAGATAGACAATTCGGGGTGTTTTGAAAAGCCACTGAACACATTTGAGTAGGACTTGGTTAAATACGAAAAATTGGCAATTGGAGGTATGGCAGGCACCCTTTCACCCTTTTTCAGAAGTTCTTGCAAATTAAGCCTCTGCAAGGTCAATACAGACCTGGATTCTTTCCATATGAAAGCAAGCAGCTCATCTTGGATAACAAAGAGTGAACCAGGCTTTGAGCCAGGATATCTGAAACCATATCCATTTGCAATACCTTCCCCCATAAAAGCATACTTAACATCAACAGGAAGTGAATCGCTATCAGTGTCCCAAGGGAAAGGATCCAATGAAGGCTCATCAATTTGGACAATAAACATAGCTGAGCCATTTGGATGCAGAACATAGTGGGTTCCTTCTAATATTTTGGTGGCAATGAGAAGTTGTTGCCCTTGGGACTCTTCATAAGAGAGCAAAAGCAAGAACAAAGCCTTCCCAGGCTTGTCTTCAGTGGGTCGCCCGGGAGGCCAACCAAAAGTCCCTCCCCACAAACCAGCATATTCTTGGCCGACTGTTGGGGCCTGCATGGGCAACTTGTAAAGAGCAAATCGACTGTCATGCATATTTGGCCATGCCCGATAAGAAGATAACTTCACAGTGGAGGCATGTAGAGTCAGTCCTATTGTATCACCTGACCGCAAAAACTCATGAAGCTGTGCATGCTTATTCTCACTACTTGAAGAACAATTCTTCGAAATCTCACGGCCACCATTGATTGAGCTTGATTTTCTAAGTATCTGCTTAAGGCTGTCTCTGAAATATCCAGCAAGAGATTTCCTCTTTGTGCATTGTGTCCGACCATCATCCTCATTGAGTGAAATAGGAAATCCACTGGCATGATCGACACTCTTCGTGATCTCACTCAAGTCAAGTTGGGTAGGATCTGGAGCCTGTTCAGAACCAACCTTCCAATCAGTGTGATCCCCACCAAGCTTATACATTTGCATAAGCAAGGATCTCCTTTCACATAAGAGCACAATATCCTGCCGTAAGGTATCCTCATTACCCCTTAAACGAGGAAATAGTAACCCGTTTGCTGAATCTGGCACCTTTAAACGGACTTGGCTAGTAACAATCTCAAGTAGCTTTCTCCTATCACCAAATGTCAATCGGCTGAAGGGCACTATTGACGCATTTTGTCCAACTACCCTCTGTGACTTTGAAATCCCACTATCTGACCGACATATCTGTCTTAATAGCTCCTTATCCAAATGATTAACAAAGCTTTTACTATGCACCAACTTACCCCCATTTCTTTGTTTTCTTGGCTCAGCTTCCAGCAATAGCATATTGCAAGTTCTATCAACTGCCTTGAGTGAACCAGGATAAAAGTAGTCATTTTCCTTCTCCCTCCCGTGTAGGAAAAACACAGCAGAACCATCAAAATCGCTGAGAATTTCAAACACAGGTGCCCATAGAATAGGACCATCTTCAAGGCCTAATGGGCCAAGCTCTTGTGGAATGATCCGGCACCCGACAACTGAAATAAAGCCAGGCATGACATAAACTACATTGCCAAGCTCAGGATTTTGGTGAACCCAAATTCCAAGTAATGGCTGAACACTGATAAGGAACCGGCAAAGCGCCTGGAAGGATGAAACTCCATTTCGCCATTCGACGAGGTCTCGAGGGGGAATAATCCCCAACATATCACATTGGGTGAGCCAGACCTTGTCAGAAGCCGCAAGGGCATATAGGCTTCGACAGCAGAGACCCAGATAACAGACATCCCTCGGAGTCAGGGACTGGGCGACTATGGCAAAGATATCATCAGGCAGAGATAGAAGCAAACTCGACCCACAATAATCAGCCAACATAACTATTGAAGTATGGTTTTCCAAGAAATTCAATATGCACCCATAAATTTATGCTTTACATACACAAATTGTTTGATTCACAAGATTCAAGCTACTCTGAACAGTACTATGCTCAGTAAGTCATGAACAGCAGATTTAACAATGGATACTGAAAAGGGTCACGCTTCAAGCCCCTCAAAAACCTTCCTTTTTTAATAATCAGATCAAACTGAATGAAACATGCATGAAAAAGAGAAACCTGGGTTTGTTTCCGAAGTGGGTTTGATTCAGATTCTTCAACAGGACTTCGAAGTTCGCCCCGTAGTCAAAGAGAAATCGGGCAAGGAATGAAATGGGTGTCTTCCAGATTCTGCAATTTTCACCACTCTCAATTGTCCTTTGAAGACGGAAAGGAATTGAGCAACAATATTTGTGGGTTTGGTAAATTCAGGCACTTCACTTATTGAATCTATACAATAAGCACAATTCTCTCTCTCTCTCTCTCTCTCTCTCTCACACACACACACACAGTGCTCGCAGTTTAGTGGGAGAAGAAAGTATGGAGATTGAAGAAAACCTAGAACCAGGTGAATTCACAAGTCATCGCCAATTAAATCAAAAAGCAGCCATCAACTTACTCTCTCTTCTCAAGGTCAATTATGAGGATAACGAAGGAGGAAGAGGAGCAAGAAGTATTGAAAAGGGACAAATGGAGCTTAGGAATTATCACTATCATTGTCCTTTTGAGGGGTCCCTTCTCTCTCTCTTCAACCGTGCCAGCCAGCCAATATTGAATTGAGCTTAAAGTAGAAGCCAAGCCCCTAAAGTCCAAAAGAAGTCCCAAGTCTACCTAGTGCCCAGCCGAGAGAGAGAGAGAGAGAAACCAACCCATTGTTCTCACTGTAGACTCCAATCATTCTTTCTAGAGTGGAATATGGCAGACAGTCAGTTTGGAGACCTTTTACCTGGGTCATAAATTTATTTATTGTTTTATGGAGAGAAAATTATAGTGGCAACGCTCATAGTTTCTTGCAATTGTAGACATTGCCCTTTTTTTTTTCTTTCTAAAAGTTCACCTCATCCCTATCAGCTTGTCTATAACTGAGCGAGTAGAACGTTTGTTTTTCAGTTTTAACCCTAGTGACTTTATTCCTGCATCCAGACGATCACACGAATACTATGAAGAGTAGAGGTGAGAGTGAGGTTAGCGTTGGTGGTGGTGGTGGTCGGGCATAATGGGCACACCAGTTCTCTCTCTCTCTCCAAAGTATGTATATGTGTGAGATAATAACCTGTATGGTCCGTTTGTGTGTAGAGTGAGATGGTTATGATTGTTCGGTAACATCATTGTGTTGCCACTAGTTTGTTGTAGTGATGGTGGCAAGATGGAGATGGGTTTATGTTAGGTTTTAAGGGGTAATGAATTAACTTTGTTTCAATTGTGGGTTAAGAGTGTTTGAGAATGGGAGGGGAGATAGCATGAAGGTCGAGAATCTCATATACTGGCCGATATTTTTAGTTGGATTATGTTAGTGGATTTTGTTTGTTTCCCTAATAGTTAACTAAAATAGTGGTAGTTCTAGAGAGAAAAATCCAAACCAAAAGGAATGCATTCTGATTTCCGAAACAGTGAGGCTACTGTCTATAAATGTTAAAACAAATAGGGGCACTGAACTACGCTTGGAAAATATAATTTTTTCATGTTATCCACTTTGTGAACACGAGCAAATGCGTTTGATCCTCACCAATTGCTGTTTAACTTCTGTGAAGTCTCGGATCAGCAGTTTAATGCCAACAAATCAGTTTTGATCTTCAGTCCAAATGTCCCGGAGGCACATCATTCATGAAAATTTACATCAATATTGCCGTACCATCTTGTCATCGTTAATATTTCACATCATCTATCACTTAATAGAACCAGTGAACCCGCTAGAACATTTCACGGGTATTCCCTGTTGTATACAGGGCTAAAGCAGCAACATGTGACCAAACCTTAACTTACCCTAAAAAAAACGTGACCAAACCTCAAATAGCAGCTTCTGTCCCCTTGCACAACCCACCTGCCATTCCTCAGAGGTTTCAATCCGAGGAGTAGATCAGAGATCAGTAGAGATCTGCTCATTCTATGAAAACAACTAGACTCTAGTTAAGTCATGGAGCATGCCATTAATATTTCAGGTTTTGGGGGTGTGTGTGTGTGTTTTTTTTTTTTTCGGGGGGGGTTGTGGTTTGGCCATCCCTCCTCTTTGGTAGCATTACAAAATTGGATTGCAAGGGCTGCAAATCCACGGATAGCATATCTAAAGATCCTCTACAGCCATAAGAATGCCAGTGAATCTATGCACCTAAATATACAAATTGGAAAATAACTTTAGGTAAGTTACTCTATTGTGAGCCTTGCCGCAGCGATAAAATTGTTTTAGTGTTACCTGGGGCGTCAAGAGATCGACTCGCAAAAATAGTCTCTCCACATACAAAGATAAAACTGTATACATCTGACTTTTTTTAAACCCCGCAATAGTGAGAGTCTCGTGCATGAGACCATCTTTTTCCCATCCAAGTATGTACCAAGGATTTCAGTGGCAGTGAAGATAGCAGCATCACTACATGTAGAAGATGTTGGTGGTGCACTTCAATTCAACATTATCGCTTGCAGGAGGTGCCATCAGTGCCTCAAACAGCCAGCCAGCCAATATTTTTCTAGAATGTGTCAATAGTGGAATTCTTAATATGCCTCGTACATCAGGCCAGAGTTTTGTGGGTGTTACACTGCTTCGATTACTTATGCAGTTTGTTTCGGATTTGGGTAAAGGGATCAGCATCAACAGCCTCTTTTCTTCTGAAAGATTTAGCTGATGTCCGAGTTTTCAGGGCTTCCTTCTCCAACTTCTTTTTTTCAGCCTCTGCCTGCTGTTCATTCTCACTGAAAAAAGAAACCCAAAAGAGCTTGACATACATTTATAAAACACAAAACCCACTGCAGACCAAAAAATAAAATAGTTACTCGTATACAGCTCTAACACTTGATTAACAGAGCAAAATTTCTTTGTTAGAAATTCATTTTCGCAAAAACGTTGACATAAGCATCAAACATTCACTTTGCCAACTGAAAAATCAGTTTTTGGGAAATCAGAACTCCTCAAATTTGTTGATGGAATTGGAGAAATTTTTTAAAGCTCAACGGGTCTTTGGTAATAGTACTCCTTGCCTTATGAAGGTTTTGTCTTCTTGAGGTCACGGGTTCAAGTCTTCCTCCCCCTCTCCCTCCCAAAAAAAAGAAACCTCTCATGCAGCACATCATTAGTGATGAAAGAGAGACAACCCATAGATATGACAATTAGCACCCCTCTGGACCCTTATTTTTGAGAATGAGCCTGAGAATCATCTCTGTCAACCTTATTATCTCCGAAGCTCAACGGAGATGACCACAAGCTAACTCTGATGGCTTTTTGCAAATATGTTACCCTTCAATAACCCAAACCATTCGCCAAAAATGGCATTACTCATAAATTTAATCTGGCAGGCTTATTGTCTTGAAATAGTTCTATGATCCTTGGTTCATTAGGGAGATCAATATGTAGTCAATTCAATATGATTGCTTCTGATCCCTGAGACAGCAATATAAAACTGAACGATTAACAACCCTTGCTCAAAGGGGCATCGAGCTGGATCCTCCCCAAAATACTGACACAATGAGTCTGCATTTCTTCCCTGCAATACAAATGGATTAGAACTTAAAGAAGCTCTGATCAGCCAGATTATTGACAAAAAATTTAGTCTGAAAAGAAGGCTCACCACTTCAGAGTACAAAGAACTAAGTGACCTTACTTCAGCTTCAGTGGTATCAAAGAAACTCTTCAAGACCTGAAAAGCATATTCAAGCGTTTACACTCAGCATCCTATAATACAATTGCTCTATAGATATTAATCAATGCCATTTAGAGTCCAGAGCACGTAACAAGGATGCATCTTCCAATTCACTATGTTCCAGAAGATATACTCAGCTACAAATAGCCACAGTGAAGCTATTGTTAAATATCCTAACCAAGTGACGCAGACATTTTGGTGGCTGCCAACAAATTGGTAATTGAAACAGTCCTTGGAGAGCTTAGAGGTCTTAAGACTTGAGTCTCGGGCCACTGGAGAGTAATTAGAAACATAATAAGTTATAATTACTTTATAATCTTAAACATATCAATAAAAGCCAGTTGGGAGGGTATACCTAGTTATGTCTAAATCTCCTACAAGTGATTTATCTTTTTGGAGTGGAAGATTTCCTCCTTTGGAATTGAATTTTCCATTCAGCCTGAGGGATTCTGCCTTAGCTGTTTAATCTACTCCCAGTTTTACCACAGCAGTGTCCTTCGCTGCATCACCAAGGGTATCTACTGTGTATGACTCTTCCAAGCTGAGCTAACACTTTCAATCTCAAATTAACAAATACAAGTAGCACATTCGAGTGCAGGAAGCAAAAGGTACATAGAGGTAGTAAAAGACAACGTTCATGCGGCAAGGGGAAAGAGAGAGAGTACAGGCGGTGGGAAAATCTTTAAACATCTCTTCCGTCAGTTCTATATCCTCAACTAATAGTATGTTAATGGGAAGAAAAACTATGTGAAAAGAAGAGAAGAGTGGGGAGACATCCCTCCAGGCCCACCAAAATCATGACGCCCAAAATGAATATGAAGGGGGAAGGAAAGAAGGGATTCCTCTGAAGTTACATTATTGTTATCCATTCAAAACCCCTTGTGTTAGGAGGAAATCATCATAAAATAAAGTCACACTCCTTTCTTTTCCTTCCTGCCCAATCAAACAGACAAAGCATAGACTACAACTTTTGTCTTCCTCGATTCTTTTGTCCATGTTATGATATCCTTCCTCACAACTTCTATCATTTCAACGTGTTAAACATGCAACTTAAGTATTTATACTTCAACACGCCCCCTCACGTGCTAGCTAAATTTTGGGCCTAGTACGTAGAAATCTTTTTAATAATTAGGGTAGCGCCGAGATTAGAACACAGAACCTCCTGTTCTGATACCATGTTAAACATGCAACTTAAGTGTTTATATTTTAACACAACGTAACAGAAGATAACAAACAATCACAAGCATACACTTGCACATTAGTCTTTTCTAAACATTTGACCAGAAAAACAACACAACAAATGAATGATGCTAACACCATATATGGTTCACTATACGATCTTCAATTTGTGTACATTAAAATAGATTCATTACCATGGCCCATAATCTACTCTGTTCTTGTATATCACCACCATCACCATCATCATCAATTACATCCCACCATGTCTAATTCTCACCTCAAAGGAATCAAAGCAAACTCAAAAAAAATTCCCTATTCCATTCAACTATTTATTAGGTAATACTTCCCGTTTTGTTTACTTGAATCTCAGTGTGCCGCAGTCAGCAAACTTTAGCCAGCACACCGTAGCATAAATGGTAACAGCATTGGGCATGGAGTCTTTCGACATAGCTAATATAGTGTTGGCTTCCTTTCATTAAGTTCAAAGACTGACATATGCAAAGGCAGATGCCCTGACTAAGATCAAATTTACTTTTACAGAGATCTTTTCAGGGAATTATGTGCTTTCTTTCTTGGCTTTTGGCTTGTTTTCTCATGTTGGCAGGCATGTTTTACTAAAGTTTACAAGGAAATTTCTTCAGAGGTTTTGTATCTTTCTGTGTGTTCTCACTCATACTCGTTTTTGAATAAACTATGGGACCAACCGTGCAATCAATTTTATATTTGTACAGTTAATACCAATTACCAAGAATCTCTTCATACTAATGTGAACCATCACCTCCGTCATAGAAAAATCAAAGTTGCACAAGGACTTTGTCTTACCCAGAAAAGAAACATAGACACAGCAAGAGATCATCCATGCAATACTAACAGTATCAGTGACAAACATCAGGGAGGGGAAAGAACAATGTACTAGTCTTTGAAGATTCATTTCTCAAGACAATTTGCTGTCCAGCAAGATCAGAGATGTGCTAAGATTAGTATTATGTGATGTGGCAGATTTTTTTATGAAGTCACCTAGATCAGCATGCACTACCCTCACCTTTTGAAAGCCTGCAGATATAGCACCATCGTTCACCAAAGCAGTTAGTTCCTGCTCAACCTTTTCAAGACCATTGCTGTCTGCTTGCATTTCTTCAGCCAAATACTTCAATAGGATCTAACCATTTCATTTGGTATGGCAACAAGGAGAAGCAAGCAATGTCTAATACAAGTCAGCAATGTACTATCCCATTACAAGTTAAGCAAACCAAGGGAAGACCCAGATTCAAATTAAACATACCTTAGAAGCTGCTTCTAAATGAAGAAGATCTTTATCAAAATCTAGCAACTCCGGCATTTTCTCAGCAAGGAGCTAAACAAACCAATTGATCATGACATCACGTGTACACAAAACCAAGGATCAAAATATCGTTTTGAAACTGTCGAAACATCCAAAACGTTTCCATTTCCAAGGAGACCGAAACGAATCAGTGATAAAATCGAAATTCTAATACTTCGAGGTATTCCATAATGTTTCGAAATGTTTTGTTATATTTCAATATATTTGCACAATTATTTCGGAATGTTTCAAGTTATTTCAAGATATTGGTATATTTTGACCAATGTTTTGAAAAAATAATTATTAAATTTTTATTTTTTTTCATTATGTTTTCGAAACGTTTCCATTTCTTAGGTAATCGAAACAATGCACCGAAATGAAATTTTGATCCTTGCACGAAACAAACTTTGAAGGAGTAACGTACACAAAAAAAAAATATGGCTATGCATGACTGTGTATGACAAAAATAATCACAAACAATAATCAAGTATAGCAGAAAGGGCAGGAGTCAAATGAATAATATATCTAAAACAGTCTCATTCCAGAGATTCTTTATGTCATAGTACATGCAATCAAGTTTATAGTTTTTTCTTTCTTTCTTTCTTTTTCCTTGTTTTTTTTTTTTGCGAGAGGATGCCACACTTATTACGTAAAGTAGATACAATATATTAAATCATATCAAATATCAATCGCTCAGAAGCTCCTAGACAAGTATACAACAGCCAGTACAAGAAGAGTGCAAACTGCTTACATTCTGTCAAGCATGTTTCTACAATCTGACATTTCAAGAAAGTGTATTATGCCTATACTAGCGTGTCCTTGTGATTGAACTATTATTGAATCCAACCCCAATGAGACAAATGAAAGTAAGTCATCATTGAATTGGAGAAAAACGTTCATAATGCAAATTAAAACTCTAACGAATGTGACATTTCTACCTTGCATAAATAATGCATCAAGGTCATTTTGTTGTTTCTTGCACGAGTATCAGATAATTTAAGAAGGCTTTCCAGTTTGAATCCTACAGCTGATCCTGCAATATAGAATTACTGAAAGGGGTCATTATAACCTCAGAAGCTTTCCGCAAAACCACAGAATGCAGGGATAACACAGTTTGATCTTAAATACTTACCTCGGGAAGTTCCCTGATTCAATGCATTTCCCAAAGTGAGAATTGTCTGCATTATTTGACGCAACTTCATGGATTCTATTACCTATGATTATGTAATGAGAGTTAAGGTGTGGATGAGACTTAATTTTTATTAGTGACTTTAGAGATCTGACAACAAAGATACCTCCTTAGTAGCATCATTGATTGTATTCAGCTTAAGTCTTAAGTCATTCACCTGGACAAATCAAAAGCTATTAGCATAAACAGCCAAAAGTAACCATAGCATTCATGGTCAAATAACATAAAAATTAGTGTCAGAACAGTTTACCTGGCTAGAAAATGTAATTGTAAATGAAAATATTCGTAACTTGGATTCCACTTGTGGTACCTTCATTAACTCCAGGAAAAACTGAAATGCACATCAACACAATGTTTTTCAATAATAAGAATATAGCATTTTCCCTTCCCTGCATCCATGATCAAATAATGCAGAAGCACCTGTTCACACTTTCCAAGCATTTCCTTGTCTCCAGTATAGTTCTGAAAGACAGAATGATAGCAGTAAGAGACAAACAAGTAACGTTGCAACTATAATAATCATAAATTAAAAATACTGAAAAAAAAGTATCACATTGTAAGGCAACCAAGAATATGTTAGGTTTTATGATGAACACCATTCAACTTTTTCATTTCCCAATGAAGCCACAAATCAAATACGAAAATCATTTCTTGCCTTTCAGTTCTACCTGTGGCTAACCTTCCATTAGACCCTACGCTACCTTGTTTACTCTCATTAACTTGTGTTTTCTCTTTGGTTCTTTGAAGAACTAAACGAACTTATCGGAATTCTCCGTGACGTTCACCAACGACTTATCAAACGGGTTTCCACACCGTTTGTGGCGTCTTCCTTTATACCGAGGTTCTTGTTTCACAAACAGTGGGTTGAGGTCTATATACCAAGGTTCTTGTTTGTTGTAAACAACGGGTCAAGGTCTACCATAAAATCTGTTCGTTAAACGATCTTGGGTTATTTTCGTTGTTGGTTCTTGTTATTCCGGCAGGTAACACATCAAGAAAACTAAGGTAGAAACCTCACAATACTCATAAAAATATTCTGTCTTTTACAGTGCTTTGAACGCCTATTTATAGGCTGGCTATTACAAAGAAAACTTCCTAAAATAGCTAGAATTTATTTGGCATCGCTCTTGTCCTTGTAGAACCATAAAGCTTCATTGAACATGGCAAAACCAACTTAATCCACTTTTCCCATCTTGCCAATTTCCCCCATCTCCACTGTCCATCTGTACAGTCTCAGTGTTGAAAAAAGAAATTCATTAATACGTCCAACTAATAGACCATTTCATACTTTTTTTCATTCAACAACTTCTTTTATGCATTACTTGTAATTTACCACTGCGAGTAAAAACCCAGTGTCCAGTATAAAACCATAGAACACCCTGCATGTATAATGGAGCCAAGTACTGTGGCTAAAGTCCACTACAAGAATTACCGACTCTGTTGATCTCTAAACTCCAAAAACAAAACCATTTAAATAATGTACATTTTGAATAACTTTTGGAGAAAACAGCTTTTTTTTCTTTGTGCATTCCATGAATGTATTAGGTTAACAACTAATTATGAAACAATGACTCTCAAATCCCAAGTTAGTGTTCCATGGTTATAACCCCGCAGATAGACAAAAAACCAAAAAAAAGGGTGTGTGTGTGTGTGTGTGTTTTGGGGCCGTGGGGGAGAGAGTACCTTCAGTGTCTCCATTTCTTCTTTTGTAGGACAGAATTTAACCAGATTCCCAACTTGATTGATCTCCAGGGCTGAAGAATCCAAAGCCAGAATCGCATTCTGGAAACCAAACATAATTCAAGTTTTGCAAATACTTCAGAATTATGCTTTGCATTAAGAATATACTCAATTGGAAATATAAATTATAATGTCACTTCTTGTTTTGCAAGAGTGAATAAACACTCTGGCAGTACCAGGAAACAGCGAGGGGAAATACTGAGTTCATAATCTGTTACCATTCTGGTAGCCAATAAAAATTATTGCCAACCAAACAGAAATATCAACAACATCATGAAAAATATGTACAGCTGAAGCATCATACCATTGCAATTGATTAACTGGAATGACATCTATAAAGTCAGATTAAATGGAGAATTTTGGTTGCATAGAATGCGCAATGTAAACACTCCCGAAAAATGTAAGTGGCAGAGGAAATTCCAAGCATTTTAAATGAAAGAGACAAGTAAACAGATAATCAGCTTAACCCTTGCACCTGAACAGAAGCCCTTTGAAAGTACGACAAAAGAAGAACAGAAAAATAGAAAAGAAAAGGAACTAACCAATCAGGACCCATGCCATGTGTTTCAAGCAAGACAATAAGTAGTCAACCTAGCTGAGAAGTGTCTGTTGGTTTCTTTACATGGAAATTTATACTATGGTTGCTTCGTGTCTAAGGGAATATTTTATGTATAAAATTAGGACGAGACTCAAAACCCAAGTCCCGGAATCAGGACTTCCCCTTTCCTTTGACCAACGGGTCCTCAAACCAACCTGCCTTTCTATTTTTCAGTAAGCGGTTTTTTTCATTCATTCATTCAAGGTATGCACAAGCCTTATTGAAAGCAAAATTTCCCCCAAATCCAGAAATTCAGACTAAAAACAAAGCTAACTCCTGAATGAATTTATAATCTCATGAATTTTGTCCACACTTCAGGTTTCGTAGATGAGGTAATCAGTGATTATGAAGGTAAAGAGGATATGGGAAGACAAGAAAACTGCATAACAAAGAGACATACAAAATCAAAGAAGCCTTTTTGAAGCAGAAATGATTCGGGTTAGGGATTCGATTGCCATTCTTCTTTGACTTCGTTGAAGAGAGATGGCGCGGTGGAAGAAAAGAAGAAAGCATTTAAAAGGCATTGACTACGGAAAACAAACTTGTCCACCAAGAAGTTAAAATGGCAAAGTGTCATGGCAGCAAAATTGCCCAAAATAATTCTTAAACACTTGGCGTAGAAGAATCAATTAACCACCTCCATTGCTTGCCAACTAATGAAGTCTGTGCAAAAATTAGCTCACATAAGGCAATTTCTGATATTTTTAATATTTTCGCAAATACCTTTTAATCTTTTAAAACCTTCGATAATACTACACTGTTCCTGTATTCTTTTCTGACAAAGTTGACATGAAGCATAGGATATGAGCATTCAATTCCACAATGCTCTCACAAATGGGTAACACAGTATAAAAATCACACAAACCTTCAATATATAGATGATGAACAAAACCTTTAAAAACAATCTATATTCACCACAACTTCTATTATTCCTTCACCAAAAGTCCCATTCCGGAAATGTCTTTTGAAACCTTTTAATGATGAGTCTTGAAAATATGTGTTCTTATTTCTTTAAAATACCTTTATTCGGGGAATACTCTACATTTTCCAGTCTTAGTTTCAACCAAGATGTTGTTCCACTCCTTCAATTCAATTACCAGGGCATAGTTTCAAATCCTAGATTAATAGCAACAACGAAAATAACAACAATATTGAGCTATATTGAGACAAGGTTGCTGAATACAACCAGCACCCACATCACATAAATTTCCTCTACCATGAAAAGTACTTTAATTTATGTACAGGGTGGGCCACCGGACAAGGTTCATACAGCTATAGGGTCTTTGGAGGCTAATATGTACCAACCTTATCCTTGCATACAGAGAGGCTATTTCCACGATATTAACACTTGTGGTTCAAGTCAAAATGGTACAACTTTATCGGCATTGTTGTTGTACCAAGGCCCACGAGTATTTTAATTCGTGTATATGTCCATATCATATTCACTAAAACTAATTCTACAAGAAACAAAAAGCGTCCCAAGGACCTGCATGACTTTGAACGAAGCGAGCAACAGTTCAATTCAAAAACAGAGCAACAAACATGCCTTCCTATACAAGCATGGATATCCATCCAAAATGTTGTTTTCAATAGTCAAATTTAAGTTGTCAGGTTACTAGATGCAAACACATTTCCCAACTTAGAATTTATAGTTTAGAAAGGATTCATCACAAAAAGGTGAACAAATTAGCAAACAGAATTTCTGTCATAAGCATCTACGTTGGCAAAGAACAAAGAATATTTTCTTCTATACAAACCATATGTTTTAATCATTGTCCACAACTTCTAAATTTAACAAATTCATATCATCACAATCAAAAAAATAACATCATATCATTCCTTTCACCTGCTAAAAACACAACATAAAAAAAAACCAAAGTTGCATCTGCACTACTACTTAAATTAGCAATACATACAGGTGGAGTTATGCGAAGAGAAGAAAAAATGAGCTTACCCCAATATCTGATAAAGGAATCTTTATCTTTGCGAGCATGATTTCACAATAATGGGCTCCGTGGAAATCAACCTGACAAAGGAAATGCAGCAAATATCTAACCAAAACCTCAATTACTAGTGAAAATACATGCAAGAAAACTTCCGAAGAAGATGAAAAAAACACTAGAGAAAATGATAACTCTTGTCCTCTCATAGATGAAAAGAGATCCTTATTCCTTGGTAGCATCATATTGAATTGTTTGGAGATCAGACTCAAAATGGATGAGGCAAGGTAATGATGATTAAAAATAGATCCTTCAATAATTAAACTGCTCTGTGACAGAGAATATTAACCTGTTTATTTGGAGTAGTAAAATTAAAGTTGCCATGTGGAGACTATAACCAACGCACATGATTTGCTAATTCCTAGAAATTTCCTAATATTGCCACACAGCTGGAAATACGACATTAAAGCAGATAAGAAGGGCACTCACATATCTCCTAGAATTTGAGAATAAAAACCAGCTTTGAAGTTTCAAAAGCAACTTGCATATGCTCACATTGATTAAAAAAAAAGCAAGATTCAACGAACGAAGAAATTAAATACTCCAAGATCATGATTTTCTAATCTCCAGACAATAATAATTTTCCGAAAATTTGGTTACAAAATGTTTCCTTAAAGCTTTATATGAGTCTAATATGTTTGATGTTTTGCTAGAGAACAGTAACATATTTTTGACGCCTCATTTGAATCCGTAAAGTTCTCACTTGTACGAATGCAATAATTGGTTTGTGCTTATAGTTCTGTGCTTGTCCAGAATTAAAGATATCAGATGTTTCAGAAAATCTGATATCTAGGCATGGTAACAGCAAAAAACGTGAACTTACAGAAAGTTTTGGTCGACATTTGGTTGGGGAAAAAAAACCTTAAAGCAAGAGCCTAATTTATTTTTGTTCTCCACCCTAGATGATTCTGAGAAATGCATTTTTTAGGAGGTTTTAGAGGAGTTGAGTTGATCGGTGGAAAAACAAAAACTGTATCACCGAAGAGATTACAAAATTTTAAAAACAAGCATTAGCAAACGTTTGCCCTGAGATTATGACAAGACTGAACTGCCACAGCATTAGGCTTCAGCAAACCAGCACTGAAATTGAATAAATTTCAGTTGCCGTTAAAACCATTTATATAAAAATGCAGTTGCCCTATGATCATGACATGTACCTACTTCACATTATTAACATGCACATAACTGGAAACACATTCAGTCCAACATGACACTGTCTATGTTTCCACTACGGTACATGTAAACACATCATGGACATTATATCATGTTAAACTACATGTTTTAAGAGTAAACTCAGACAGACATGTAATCAACTGAACTACTGTGAACAAGGAAAATGTAGAACACTTGCCAATTGCACTTTATCTGGTTTGTTGACTTTAGAATCATGTCGACCTCCACCCTTGTCAGTGGCATATGAAGCAGAAGCTGCTGAGAATAGACTTTCGAGCTCTGATATATATCTTTTTTTTTTTTTTTTTTTTTTGGAGGGGGAGGGGGAGGGGGTATTTGAACCCTTGACCTCAAGAAAACAAAGCCTTAACAAGATAAGGAGTATCATTGGACCAAAGGCCCGTTGGTAAAGCTCTGATATATCAATTTCAGGAACCCTACCAAGAACTTTCAACATGAGAAATCAGAATTTTACTAGACATCTCGGGCAAAACAAAAACCCTTAAATTTAAAAATAAATGACAATGCCATCATATAAAAAGTCAAGCACTAGAATTCCACAGGAGAAACAATGAAAGCAAAGAAAGTCAATGAAAACCCATATAAAGACTTCACTAAGTTGATTCCAAGAATTGCCGATGGGCATACTACTGCCAACCACAATGTTAGAAAGATCTCAAACATAGCATCACTATACGAAACTAAATATTAGATTGAAGAAACATCAAATGATTCAAGAAGTTGCACAAAATAGTTCTGCATTATCTAGAAAATACCTTAACCGATTTTCCAGTTTTTGGGAATAGGCCCATAAACTTCCCTGCATCGCTCGTGCAACTTTCACCCAATATAAAGGCCTTAATGAAACTTTTTTGGTGGGAATTGAAGAGCCTGCACCAACTTGATCTTCTCCATGATTTGTTGACCCCAAGGAGGCTCTTCCTCTTTTAATTGTTGGAGGCGGCGACAGTGGGGTATTGGACCCTTTTCCTCCGGGTGGTGGTGGTGGACTTGGTGTTGCATCACGATTTGGAGGTAGAGGGCTGCTAGGAAGCTTTGGTGCATGTGGGGGAACTAGAGAAATTGAACCTTGCAAAGGACCTCCTGGAGGAGGTGGAGGTGGTGGTGGCCTAGTGACAGCACTAGGTTTATGGCGTACAGATGGCAGGGGAGGCGGTGGCAGGCCTGGTGTCTTATTAGTAGTAGCAGTGCCAGTAGATGGCAGCAGTGGTCGTGATGGTGGAGGTGCTGGGATGGATGTTCCCCTGAATGTAGAGGAAAAGGGAGGTGGTGGTGGAGGGAACTTAGAAGAGAGGGAAGAAGGAGGTGGTGGAGGCGGTGGAGGGCCACTACTCAAAGAGGAAAATGAGGGTAATAAAGAATCTTTATTAGAGGCACTTTGGGATGGAATAGGCAGAGGAGGGAGAGGTGGCAGAGGGAACTTAGAAGATATGAAAGAAGGAGGCAGTGGAGGACCACTACTCGTACACGGAAGTGAGGTTAATAAAGAATCTCCATCAAAGGCACTTAGGGATGGAGTAGGCGGAGGAGGGCTTTTACTTGTAGTGGAAACTGAAAGGATTGAATGATCTATCCTAGAGAAATAAGGTAGATGTGGAGAAGGAGATGGAAATCCTTCACTAAAATTTTGAAAAGGAGATGGAGGTGGAGAACTCCACTTGAACTAAATAGGGGGAAATGGAGATGGCGGAGGCAGAGGCCCTCCACTAGAACTAATAGGGGGAAGTAGAGGTGGAGGTGGTGTTGTTTCTCCACTAGAATTGACAAGAAGAGGTAGAGCTGGAGGAGGTGGTCGAAGTCGAGGTGTTTGAGGAGCACTTGTACAAGTAACAGCAGAGGTAGGAACTGAAGGCAGCGGCAGGGGGAGTGGACAGGGTGGAGTTTCTGTATATGAAACTGTAGATTGTTAATCAAGAGATGAGGGAACAGGACCAACAGGCGCTTGATTTGAGTGTGTTAAAGTAACACGTGTGCCACATTGACCATCACTTTCTGAAGGAGGAAGAACTGAATCAGCAGTGTCCGATATTAATGGCTTCATTGGATTGGCAGAAGGCTTGAGATCAGATACAGCAAGATCCTGGAACAGGGGTTCATCTAGAGAACCACCAGTACTAGATGCATTATTTTCTTCTTTGAAGTCAAAAGGTGGTAAACATGTACCCTGTCTACTTTCCAATATTGACAACTCTTTAACATCATTCAAGTCAGAAAATTGTTGAAGTAACCACAAAGCCACATTATCACCACCATCAACCCGTTCAACTCCATCAAAAAGTTCTTGAACCCTAGAGAAGGCGTCAATTTGGCAATCCACCTTTTTCACCATTTAAGATTGCAGTTGGAGCCCTTTCGGAGGTAAATGCTCTCAAGATCAACAAAAACAACCTGAACTAAGGAAAAATAATATTTCAAATGAGATATGTTGGTGCCATGGACGAATTACATTATTCAACTATTTGGGTGAATTACATTATTCAGCTTGTCTCAAACTTCTTTTGGATACCGCGTACTTGAATCCCATAGAGTGTCCAAGTTCTCATAGTCTAGCATCAAGATGTCACACAACATCATAAATTCCCTTTCAGAATCCCAGCCTAGATGGACACAAGCAAATACTAATTGAAGTCGACTCACCCTCAGTCTAGGTGAACGCCAAGGATCACTTTTCACAAGACTAATTGACCCTCTATTTTAGTTTCATAAAATGGATCTATAAGCATATTTATTAGGCCCATGAGTTATGTCTTGAAATTAGTGTGCATATCATGTGAGTAATATCGGTTTCATCTTACAAACGAATCAGGTGTGAAGTGTGAACATCAGTGGCCCATATGTTATATATAAACATATTGGGCAAATATAAGTAGATTTTATGTTACAAGTTTAACACTTAATGGTTTTTCAACCATTACTTCGTTGAGTCTATATATAGAGGCTTATGAGACACTTCAACATAATATTTTACTTTTTCTAAAGTACTTTACAGTAGAAATTTGTGGGCAAGGAAAAGAGAGTGTAAGAAGCTTCCACTTTCTTGGATGTGCAAACTAGAGTGAAACTACAACAAGAAATTTGACTACATTATATCATAGAAGAAACATGCTGAGACTTATTGCACTTGACAAATATCCGTAAACAGATGTGACATACTCTACCCCTCAAACCAAACCGTGTACTTTATTTATCGTATGAAATCTATTGTTGCTTCTAATTGAACTATGATTGGGATGAGCACAAATCTTTCTAGATTTATTGCATATAATAACATGTTGCTTAATATCTATGTATTTTGGACCTAGGTCTGACATCCGGTATTTAATATCAAATTACAAATACACCAACATATTATTACTATTTTGGTTTTAGGTGAATACTTTTTATATCCTGCATAACCAAGACAGCTAAATAGACAAAAAGGAAAAGTATAAGATTCAAATACTTTTTACATTCTGCAAAAACAAAACCAAAATAACAAACAAGACACGAAACTTCCCCAAACAAAAAAAAATAGTCAAAAAGAAAGGCATAAGATTCATCTTTTGATTTATCTTCCTCAACCAAGGAACCAAATAGTGGTTGACTAAAATATAGCAGATACAGTGAGAAACCTATTAATGTAAGAGCTTGCTTAAAGACAATGCTGAACAAAGGAAATCATCCGTAACAAAGTTTAACAATACACACAAAAACGTATAGCATATTCAACATACACATTGAGAGAGAGAGAATTAGAGAAATGTTGAAAATTGGAAGAACCTGAGCTCTCCGAGGCTGTGCCGCCATCGGAGGAACCAAAGGCTCGGGTGACTTCCGACAGAGTTGCTTCTCTTTCCACCGGAGTTCATTGTTTTGGAATTGTAAGTTTCAATTGGGAAAGTTCTTCGTCTTACTCATGAAAAAATCGTACTAACAAACGTCCAAAATATGTATTTTCTGAGAATACACCCAATCTTTGTACCATGTTGAAACATCCAAAGAGCTCAATTTAATATTTGGGGCTTGCTTGTAGAACAGTCGTTTCTTCTCCAAAGCTGCATTGACAAAATGCAAGTTCTAGGAAGCTAGCCTACAGGACTTGTCAAAGTCAAAACCGCCATTTTTTTACATTAAGAGACGGATGAATCATACTTTGGTAAACAAATTTCATCACCAGAGTTTTATTTATCCGAAAGATTTTAAAAATTTTAAGGTCGAATTGTATTTTATATCCTAAAAAATTTTTAAATTCTCAAATCATTTTCAATGGAATCACAAACCTTTACTTAAATTTGAGTACAAAAAATAGTAAAAAAATTGATTTGTGATAAAAACCTCTCAAATGAAGAATAATTTAAGTAAAAAATTGACTCTTCATGATTTAATATGGGTATAAGTCTTAAATTGAATAAGGTTTTTAAAAAATTTTACCTAAATTTAAATTTGAATTTAGAAATGATAAAGGTCGGAGACGCTATCATTCTGAATGCTCAAAGATTATATATTTTATATTATATCTTTTAATATATTAAATTTTGTAAGATAATCCTTCAGTTAATTTTTCGTTAAAATGTTAATTGGTGTATTTTAAAAAAAAATAATAATAATAAAAGCTAACAGAAGGATAACATTATAACATTTTTGATATATGCAATATAAAAAAATTAATCTTTTAGGGTACAAAGTAAAAATCATGAAATCTTTCAAAATATAAAATACAAAATATTCAATTTTTAATTATAGATTAATTTTTTTTCATATTACACTCTTATTATAAAATAGTTTTAATGTGACCATCACATTAACTTTTATTGTCATTTTTGTCAAATCTCACTAACGTTAGCGCGGTGCTGCTCCCATAATAGATTTAACCAAAATTGCAACATAAATTAGTGTGAGAGGGAAAATTTATGAACAAATCAATTGAGACGTAGCCAAATGAGGTATGTTTGGAATTAATCTTAAAAACAATAAAAATTTGAGAAAATGAGTTGTCGAAATTTTTTTCGATATCATATTAAAAATATTATAATTAAAGATCATATTACATCTTACAAATAAAAGTGACTAGAATTTGTGAGTTGCCTCGATTGTGAAATATTATTATTATTTTAAAAAATATATAGCATCCATAATTATTACTTTTTTTTTTAAATATGTAACTTAATAGTGAAAATGTGTAATTTTTGTAATCTATCACATTACTATAAGATTGATCATAATTTTTAAAATTACAACTTAATTCTTTTGACTTATAGCTTACAATTACAATAACGTAACTTTTCTTTTAAATATTATAAAATTAAAGTAGATAATGAATGAGATACCCTAGTCCATTCCTTGAATTTGGACTTACATTTAAGTCACGTAAATCACATATAATATCCCACGCACTATCACTTTGCGAGTGAATTTGTGCTTTGGGTGCAAATTCACCAAAAATTCGCACACAATATCCCACGCTCTATCATTTTGCCAAGTGAATTTGGGCTTTGAGTGCAAATTCGTCAAGAATTTACATCTTCATTTTTCGAAATTTGTAAATTCAATGTTATTGAATTCTCAAATTCAATTTCATTAATTTGCGAATTTGACAAAGTAAATTCACAATTTTATTTCATTGACTTCGTGAATTTAGAAATCAAAATTGTGAAATTATGGACCAATTTTAGTAAAAAAATTATTTTTATCCCATACTAAATGCACAAATAAGATTAATTGTGCCCAAAATACACTAAAATAAAAAAAATACTAATAAAATAAAAAATCCTTTGATAGGTTTGAGGGTACAACTAAGACATTAACTTTGATACCGTATCTTTATCAATTTTGAATTGCATAATTTGTAACTATTAATTACAAATAATAAAATTCATAAAATAAAAATTAGCACATGCTACATTCTTATATGGTTAAAAAGTGAAGATACTATATCGTAAAATTATTTTTTCACACTTTTGATTTGAAGTGAATAGGTTTGGATAATTACGATGACCGACAGTTAAATTTGAGTGAGTTGTCGACGCATACTCAGCTAGTAATTGAAACCTAACGCGGATGGATCACACCCCGCTAAATTGGCTTAATCAATTTGGAAAGCAAATACAATTTACTCCTCACTCAAACCCCAAACACTACCCCAGACACATTGCACAGCTTGAGAAGAGTGGATTTGGATTGGGCGGCGGAGACACGACTGCTTGCGCTGGTGATTTTCCTTGCTCCGCCACCAATTTCAGGCTGTGTTTCTTCAGAATCATGGCAGCTACTGCTTCTTTTCTCCTAAAGTCCTTGTTCCTCATGACAAACCACAGACTTTTCTCCTACTCCGTCTACTCACCGGCAAACACCACCGCCACCACTACTAGGATCAACTCTCTCCGTCATAATCGCCGCCTTCTCTCATTGTTCCCATCCGCCTCCACATCTTCTCTCTCTTCTTCTCCGGCCGAGTCAATCCAAGAACCCGGCGAACCGGGCGCGTCGGACCAGGCTCGCCGGACTAATGTCGTCCAAATTTTGGAAGAAAGAGGCTTACTTGAATCCCTCACAGGAGACACTCTCCGTTCCGCCTGTGTCGACCCCACTCTCTCTCCTCTTAAAGTCTACTGCGGCTTTGACCCCACCGCCGAGAGCCTCCACCTGGGCAATCTCCTCGGAATCATTGTCCTGTCGTGGTTCCTCCGCTGCGGCCATTCAGCGGTGGCCCTTCTAGGCGGCGCCACCGGCCGCGTCGGTGACCCGTCAGGCAAGTCCCTCGAGCGGCCGGAGCTCGATGTCCACACATTGGATAAAAACACCGCCGGCATTTCCAGCACGATTCGACAAGTTCTAGGTAGGATTGCCATTACCGATTCTTCTAGTTTCTCAATACTGAACAACTTTGATTGGTGGAAAGATGTGAAATTGCTCGATTTCTTGAGAGAAGTGGGGAGATTTGCGAGGGTGGGTACAATGATTTCCAAAGAAAGTGTGAGGAAAAGATTGGAGTCAGAACAAGGCATGAGCTATACTGAATTTACTTATCAACTTTTACAGGGCTATGATTTTGTGTACCTTTATAAAAATGAAAGGGTCAATGTTCAGATTGGTGGTAGTGATCAATGGGGAAACATTACTGCTGGCACTGAACTCATTCGAAAGATTTTGAATTCCGAAGATGAAGAACAAAAGGTTGCTTATGGTCTGACATTCCCTCTTTTGTTGAAGAGTGATGGTACCAAATTTGGAAAATCTGAGGACGGTGCAATTTGGCTTAACCCTTCAATGTTGTCTCCTTATAAGTTTTATCAGTACTTTTTTACTGTCCCGGATGCTGATGTTGTGAGGTTTTTGAAAATTCTTACTTTTTTAAGCATGGAGGAGATAGGTGAGATTGAGTGGCAAATGCAGGGACCTGGGTATGTGCCAAACATGGCCCAGCGGAGGCTGGCGGAGGAGGTGACCCGTTTTGTGCATGGCGAAGCAGGGTTGGAGGAGGCGCTGAAAGCGACAGAGGCGTTGAGGCCAGGGGCAGAGACTAAATTGGATTGGAAGACAATTGAGGGGATTGCGGAGGATGTGCCATCGTGTTCTTTGGCTTATGATCAGGTGTTGAGTGTTTTGATTGTTGATTTATCAGTTTCTACAGGGTTGCTAGAGAGTAAGTCGGCTGCAAGGCGATTGTTGAAGCAAGGGGGTCTTTATTTGAACAATGGTAGGGTGGATAGTGAATCAAGGAAGATTGAGGCTGATGACATTGTGGATGGAAAAGTTCTGTTGTTATCTGCTGGCAAGAAGAACAAGATGGTTGTAAGAATATCCTGATTTATTGCTTCTATTTAAATGCTAATTCAATTTATACAAAAGTTTTTTTCTTTGAGACTTGGGTGTTGGAATACTCTCTCTCTCTCTGTCCTGCGTATTCTTCCTCTGCCTCCTAAATTCTTGCCATTAAAACTCTTCTCCCCCCTCTCTCTACCCGCGTATTCACAACTCCATGAAGAACAACCACCCACACTCTGCCTCTCTTCATCTTCCAAGAATTAATTTACCAAGTTGAAATGACTACACCAGTTATTACCAATAATTTCACTGCTAAAAATTCATCCTTCTTCATATTAAGCATTGTTTGCCACTCGACACACTTCTCTTTTGCCGTTCTCTATCTTTGCACTCTGCAACTATTGACTTGATTAGGTAATGAGCTTTTAGTTGTTTTTTTTATTATCATTACAGGTTTTTTTTTTTTTTTTGTGTCACAGGTTAATCTTTATTTGTAGCTCCTTCAAGTGGATTTATGGTCACTACTATGGGATTCTCTAATAGCACTATTTTATGGTATTTTAACTTTACCTGTTGTTAATTTTTGATATTTCTCTGAGATTATTCTCATTTTTTCAGTTTCCTATTTGTTGTGAGTGCAATGAATTTTCAGTACTTTTGCGTTGGTCTTTATTGTGAACTTAAGGTGTGTTCCAGTATTCAATCATTTAGCTTCAGGTATGATAGCTAGAATAAATCGATATGAACAGATGTGTTCAGTATTTTCATTGATATAGATTAATCTTCATTGTTATTATTCTTGAGACCATTGATGGCACTGAAAAACAACTGGAGTTGTAATTATCATATACTTATCATGTACATGGACTCTATTGGAAAATACAAGTTAAATACATTTTGATGCATTAATGTGATGCGTTTGGAGTAGTTCTTGTTAGCAACATATTTCTAATCAACGCTAATTTTTTGATTTTCTATTTTGATCTGATTTTGTGGATATTCTTGTGCATTCCTGAAGATACACATGCATGTAGGCATGCATGCACACAAAATTGGCAATAAATAATTATTCAGTTGGAATGAACTTCCATATTCCCTATTTCAATTCAAATACTTCTTCATTTATCTATCTGACGCTTCAACTATCATGTCTTTGCCCATCTTTCACACAATCACAAAGCAATTCATATTGATGTCGAAGGCCTCATATTAGAAAAGTTAGAATGCCCCTTCTCTTCCTTAGATTAGCAAAAAAAGAGGAAAATTCTTGTATGGAAGTATAATGTTTATATTCATTTGTTTCAATATTTATATTTAATTTTCTCTACTGGCTGACCAATTGCTAATATTTTCTTGAAAGGTTTGAATTGGGGTCTTGAATATGTTGTGAATGTACTCTCCCAAGGTGAATCTGTTCTTTCTATCTAGATTTGTTTGAAACAGTATGTTCCATTAGAGCTCTCTTTCTATTTCTTTGTAATTTTATATTGGATGAGTTAATTCAGAATTGATAGTAGGTTGGATTTGATTTGAATTTTTTTAATTAGTCGGTGTGATGATCGGAGGTGTCCCAACTTTACAAGCCGAGGTCTTTATCTACCATTATGTGACATAATGTTAGACCTAGCAATCTGTATTCTTTTCAAGTGAAATCTATGATAATAATTTACTGTGAAGTCCAATGATTTTTTTCAAGTGAAATCTACTGATGGTTGATCTTCAGATGGGGTTCAAGTATTGTGTGGGTTATATGTGTGTTTTCTTGCTTTTCATATTGAGTCTGATATTTTTTGGAGGTTTTCATGGATGTTTTAATTCTGATTAACTAAGGTTTTAATTCTGATGAACTGAGATGGGTTCTGACAGATAAGTTTAATTTGTTTTAGTCTTTGCAAAATATTTTTGGTTCAATATTTCATAATTTATATCATTTTTGTATATTGTCATTATGTTTTTTTAGAAACAAACAATGAAAATCAACGGCGTAGTAATGCAAACCATTCTTGACTTAACCTAAATTACACCTAACTAGCTTTGTACCTAATGGACCCCTTCCTTATATGCCGGTCTGTAATTTCGTGTAAAGTGGTACTTTGGCTTTATAGGATTCATTTTTTTCTTCTTTAAGTGTATGTGTAACAGTTTTACCTAATATTACTCTGATTTCTGTTTGTTCATTTCTAATGGTCGAATTGTGCAAACTTTTCTTGAATGGAGAAATAAAGAAGAAATAGAAGTTAGCATTTCTCCCTTTCAGGATGTGATGGTGTACTGTCAAGAGAAAAAGAACACTTTGAGTGTATTGCTTTATAGGTTAGTAATCAAATGTTGTTGGTATGATAAGTGCAGTTTCTCAAACTTGGGCTAATATCTAATTTGGTTAAGATGGTTAAGAACTTGTTTTAGGGGTTGATTTGGCAAACTAGAGTGATTAAGAACTGTATTTTGTTGTTTGGAGTATGCAAAAATCTGCTTGTAACTTTAGTATTGATGTGAGTTGCTAGCTTAGCTTTGCATAATGGTGTTATTTGTGTGCTGTTTGTCAAGCAGTTGCATATATCACATAAAATATTCTGACCAACTTCTTGTGAGCCGAAGAGGGGCCAGTGAGGGTACTATTTCATCCCTGGCTACTTTCTCCACTAGCATATTATAGCTTTGTCGTTATCTAGACATATTATCTTTTTTGTAGGTTCATTTGTTCTAATCATAATTTATCACGCAATGAGTATTTCATTTCTGCATATTGGTCCCATGGGTGCAGAAGGATACAACATGAATATACTATGAAAATGACTGTTTATGTGTTTCATGTTGTGCTTTCTAAAAGTATTTATCTTATTCTTTTTCAATTTTAATACAAAGGAACATTTGTTTTTTATTTATTTTGGTCACTTGATAATTAAGTCTCTAGGAGAGCTAATCCCCTTGTGAAATGAAGAATTTATCCATATCTCCAATGTGATCTCAATTGACGAAGTGTTGCAACATTTAGTTTCTAATAAAAAGAGAGAGCCTCCGTCCTTTGTTTTTTGTTTTCCTCTTTATTTCATTATTATGTCTATGACAGTTTGCTTTATTATAAATTTATTTTTTATTCCGACTGTCATTTGTTTCCGTTTCTTAGGTTGGGTAGTTGTTGTTATGTCTCTTTGTGTGCGTGGTGGATTATGCAATAAATGTGAGATTTTTATTATTTCTCTTTTTGCAGAAAATCTCAATTTTTTTGGTGCTTTTATTGTACTTTTTTACCTGTCTACTTTCTTGGCTTGTTGAAATTGAAATTCTAAATTGGGTGTGTGTAATTTGGATGGTCATCCAAGGTCATCAATTCATTTCCAATGGCTGAATTGTTAGCAACGAAGCTCAAGTATCCTCTTACAAGGCCAAATTTCCTTAGCATGAGGAACTTCATTGGTGATTAATCTTAACTATGTATGTTTTTATGCATTTATTTGTTTTTTGGATTTGGATTCATCTTCTACATGCTTATTGAGTTGGTTTATACTGGCAAGACGTCAACTAATACTATAATTATGTCCCCCGATAAGTCTATATAACTGTGGATTGGAGGCACATGAATGGTTCAAAATTGCAATAAGAAAAATTGAGAGAAAATCATAAGCCCCATGGAGGAGGAAAGCCTTTTACTTGGAAGAAAAATCTAAAATCCAACTACATTACCTTCACAAGGTGAAGAATTAGTCGTTTTCCTATTTATCGGCAAACACATAGAAGACGAAAACTGATTTATCAACGGTTGTATTTTTTAATTTTAGAAATTGCTTATATTATGCTTTCTTATAGTACTATTAGAGTTTTGGATGGAGAATCCAACTCCTCCAGGCATCAGTGCTGATGTGTGTTGTAACTATGATATACCTAGAAATATATTTACTTTGGTTAAAGGTTCTATGGAAGTAGTGTTCTTTAAATACTTGCATGGGTTTTTAATCAGTTCATGTGTTTTTTGAGGAACCAGTCCTCTTTCTCAATTTCAGTGCTCAATAGTATATCACCAAAGAATGATTTGGTTTTAAGCCTTTTGTCTCCCTTACAAGAATAGTATATTCTTGAAGTTGCTTGGAAGATTCGACTTGTCTATGTATAGAAGTAGTGAGAAATGTATATTTAGCTTCAAGGACGATGACGTTTTTATGAAGATCTCAATCATGAATCATTTGATAATTTTCACAACAATAGTAGACAGTATTTCATATTCGAAATGATACATGTGCAACACTTATCATGCACACATATGGAGAATGCCTGGCCAGCATACCAGGTTCTAGGTCACTTATCTAATTCAGCCTGGCTTTTGCATTCCGGTTATAGACAATTGATTTTGTGCCTATTAGTGTCTTTCTGTTTTTCTTCTATTTGCTATGTGCTGCTACCATGTTCAATTGAACCTACCATGAACTTGCTTTTTTCTCCAATTTTATGTGTGCTCTTTCACCTGCCCATAGTTTGCGGGATCTAACCACCTAAACCATGATTGCTGCCATAATGTGGGCATTTAACCGACCATTTTTCCAATTGGCATGTTGCTTTAAAAACCATTTAGATGCCTTTAATTTTACTAAATTTAATTTTAACCAATTATTTCCTAATGATTTAAATTGATTATTCCCAAATTATTGGTATTTTGGTGAAATTAACTCAGCCAAGCATTGCTGGTAGTATAGTAAAAATAAATAAATTCGTTCGCAGGTGTCTATGAGAGATTAGCTGATGAATGGACAGTGTAGGCGGTGCACTGGGAGAGTAAATTTTTTTATTGAATCAATGTATTGATGCTTTTATTATATAGTTTTGAGCAATAGTGAGTGTACTACAACATTATCACACGATGGAGTAAAAATTAGGATTTTTTTTCATTAATTTTGGTCTATTTTCTTTAGTGAATAGTGGCATTATGTGTTGATTCGATTTCCTGACATAGCTTCTCTTATGAGGCACAGTTTTACACTTACAAATCATTAGTTGGATGAAAGCGTCTTACACGAATTTACCTTGTGTACTATAGTTTTGTAGTTTTTTTAATATTTCTTGAAAGCATCTTGGTCGTTGGTTGGGTGTGACTTTTCACGGTAATACCGTTGACGAATTGGTTTTATTGAGATCTAAAGCAATGAAAATTCTGTATAGCAATAATATGACTTTATGAGATATTTAAAATGGTTCATGTGCACCAACTAGTGGTTGTACGAGTGTACTTTTTTTAGTCCCAGCATATACTTTCAACCAGTTGAGCATTACAACCCTACTCTCTTTACTTGTGCATTGACATAAAAAACTGTGCTTTGAATGGTTTCGTTTGGGGTCAAAATCAAGCAAGACTACATTTTCCACCGCCTCAAATGATAAATAAAACAAAGCCTGTCATATAGACGCAGATTAAATCGCAAGCTGAAAGATGCTTAACCACAACATCTTAAACCTGTAAACTGGAGTATTCCCAAAGTATGTGGCAACCTTAAATGTTTCTAAGTAGCGGTATGCAGATACCATAAGGGTAATAGTGGAACTACAAAAATGTTGACAAGCACAGTGTATTTTGGAAAAAAAACTTGAATGATCAATCAAAAAGATAAGAACGAAGCCTAAATAAGATTCAAGCAAGAACGAAAATAGTAGTAACGCTTCACCAAAGTTCTACAAAATCAAATTGGAAAGTATACTTGTATATCTTTATGGTAACGGAATGTATAGATAAATCCAAAATTGTGAACAATTTCTATCAGCAGACTGAACATCTGACAGTCGAAACTTCCTATTTCTTCTCTTCCTTCTCTGCCTCAGCAGCCTTCTTTGCCCTAGCACCAACATGGCGCTCATTCGTCCGCTCAACCCGTAGCTTGGCATAAGCATTGAAAGATTTCATCTCATCTGTAACTTTCACAAGCTCAATGGTCGGCTTCTCTGTAACAATGGGCATGTATAGACCATGGACCTGCGTGGCAGTTGCAAGTTCCTCTGGCCTCGAATCACCAGCCTGAAACGGGGAAAGTTCAGCCAAGAAAAGCTCATCTCAGAACAATTAGTAATAACACAAGGCACACATCTACTAGTACATCTCAATAAACCAATAGATCCGTTTACCTTGAATTTTCTTGCACGTCTTGGGAAGATAACCAACTTAGCTTTGTAAGTCTTAAGCCTCTGGACATTGCTCTGGAGACCTTCCAAGGAACGGTTCCTGCGGCGATGATCAACAGCAATACCAATTGTTGGAGCAAGTTTTTTGGGTATCCCTGCAGCCTGAAATGCACAAGCATATGAGTAAGAATTACATCTTAGGCATGTCTAGTTGGAATACCAGCTGCCCAAATTGCACAATTATGTAGAATATAGAGTGGAATATGCAATCATCACTTGGAACAGTAAAGCAATTAACCACCAAAATTAACAAACCGTGGACAATGAAATTCCAGATTATGCTGTCTGTGCAATCAGAACATGATAAAACTCTCCAAATAATTAAAGGTCATTGGCCATGGAAGAGGAAAGATCACAAGTCTATTAGAGAAAAGTAAACTAGTTCCATACTTGCCTATTCGTCCCAATTAATGCATGTGGTTGCTCGCTTTTTTCAGGCAGAAATACTAGTTCACGGAGAGTGAAGAAAGTTAAAAAACTTGTTGGGCACACTACATGACCCTAACATTATGTAAAAGGGTATGTTTAATTTCTTCTTCACACAAGAACAACTGTTTCTAGCACAAAAGCAATCCGTCCATGTGCAGTTGTGGCTGTCTCCCAGAAAACAGCACATATAATCCATGATACCAAAAAAAGAACTTTAATGCCTCAAGTGCCCAAAAAAATAAAAAAATGTCTTCATAATACAAATAAGCAAACAAATGAAAAATGATCTCACCTTCAGCTCTTCAAGAGAAAATCCCCTCCCAGCCCGGACTTTCATATTGTACTTCAGGGTTTGCCCATGAACAATGGGTCGAAGTGGTCCAGATGTTGTTCTTGGGAAAACCTTCCCAGCCTTCTTTTGCCTAGCTGGTAATAGTATCACCACAGCGTTCAGAAAATGCAAGCATAGCATGACCGAACTCATACCAACAAAAGAAAATAATTGACAACTAACCAATACGTCTCCTTGTTTTGCGGGCTGGTTGGTTAAACCAAGTCTTGACATAATTCTGCCAATGCTTCCTGAAATGCCCACTAGGCACAACATTATTATGCTTAACCATGACTTACCTGCAAAAGGCAGCATCCAAACCTGTGTTATTTAAAGCGTAAAGCGAACCGAAGTGACCAAGGCTCCTAATGACTAGGCGAGAAGCGAAGCGACACGCTTCGGTAGCGAACAGTTAAACAGAACAACAATAGCACAATCAGCAAAACTATTTTGTTAAAGTATATCAATCAATTTTGTTAAATCTATTTTTATGTACATTCGTAGGCTTATACACATGTACTGAATCACATTTCAGGACAGCAAAACAGAACAACAGTAGTACAATCAGAAAAAAAAAAAAAAAGGAGCAGAATCAGACAGTAGCACAATCAGCAAAACCGCAGCACAATTAGATACACATGTGGTTAACAGAATCAGAAGCACAATCAAAAAAAAAAGAGGAGCAAAATCAGAAAAAAAAAAAAGAGGAGCAAAACCAGAAGAGAGAAGAAAAAAAGAAAAAAAGAAAAATAGATGAGGCAAAAAAAAGAGGAGACTAACCTCTAGCAAGAACAACGACTCTGTCTAGAAGGAGCAACGATCAGCGAGACCAACGACTTTGTGTTCTGTGTCGATCGTGTAGGAGCAACGACTCTGTGTTCTGTGTAGGAGCAGCGATCGACTGTGTTCTGTGTAAGAACAACGATCAACTCTGTGTGCTGTGTTCTGTGCCCAGCGATCGTGTAGGAGCAGCAAATAATCTGAGTATAAAATTAGGGTTTGAGGTTGTATTTATGAGATAAGGGGATAGTTCAATGTATCAACATCTTATAATTTTTTTTCCAATTGTCCAATCCAACGGTCCATAATAAAAATAAAACAATTCCACCTTTAATGACTCAGGCGTTCACTTTTTCGCCTTTCAATTAAGCGAAAAGTGAGCACTTTTCTCGCTTTTTTCTCGCTTCATTCACATTCGCTTCGCCTCGCTTCTGACCTAGGCGAGCGCCTAGACGCGCTTTTCAAAACTCTGATCCAAACATTTAATGACAACTATCACACAAAAAGGTACTTAACATATTAGTACACAACAACAAAAAGGAAAGAAACAGGGATCACGACACTCTTCCTAAAATAGAATATCACATATTTTTACCGAAGAGAATAATAAATGTAATAAACTTCTCCTTTGTATAATCCCTTCCCACTCTTCCTAATAAAATAAAACCAACTAAAAACATCTTTTGCGGCAACGATGATAAGCTGTTAAAAAATAGTTTGCCATGAAAAGCTAATACTTTTAACAATCCACAGCTCGAGCGCTGCCACTAACCCTAGCTAGTGTGTTTCTGTTAGCAATAACCTACATTACCAACTGAATGACCATCAGTCACCATTAAATACTACTTCAAATATGATTATATCCACAAAATAAGTGAACACATAATACTTCGATCTTAAGGGAATTCCTCCTTAGCAGGCTAAATTTTGGAAAAAACTCGCCAATTACAATTAATTCACTATCAACAGATATAGTTTCACCTTTTGTGCAATAGTGATTCATTATTTAAATCCAATACAAAAAACACTGAAATCCCATCGTATATATATATATATATCAACTTTAATAGTGAGAAATGACCGGATTAATTCACTAGTGAAACTGAGAGTTAAACGCTCACAAACACAATATTAAAGAGTTCAGTTTTCTCAGCAACCAATCAACAACACTTTTATTAAAAAAAAAAAGACTCTACATTTACACCGCCATTAATCTTCAGAACTAGCAGTATTTCTGCAAATTTTGAGATCTGTAAGGGCGAATGACAGATAATTCGAACTAATGATAAATTACCTGATTCAGAACGAAACTTCTCGGAGCACGTATCAATCGCCGTGAAGCACAAGGCAGTCTTTGATTGGAGGAGTTCATCGGGACTTTGTGGTGTTAAGTGTTTTAAGGAAGGTGTTTTTGTCAAAAACCCTAGATTTGACGGCTCAGATGGCAAGATCTTGGGCTTCATCCACTGTAAAATGGGCCGAATCGGCCTGGTCCTGGAGGTGGTTTCTAGTTTTTCGGGTCCATGGTAGCAATTGGGAATTTGTGTCACATTGTAGAGAATCTAGAAAGAATAGTTTGGTTATAGGGCCTTAATAGTATTCCAAGGTGGTCCGGCGGTCCACCTACAATACTAAAGTTAATATTAGCATTAATCTCGTGCCTAAAGACATTCTATAATATCAAAAATTAAATGTTATTCATGTGAAAATAAAAATAATTATGTAAAATAGAGGTAGGAGAGAATAGAGAAATAGGTATATATTAATTGAGTCATTTGTGATATTAAGAAGTGTGTTAGTTGAGTTTTAAGTTATTGAGAGAGCCGTGCAGAGAAAATATTTTTGAACAAAAAAATAAATGTGGGTTTAAATTATGTGTGGTTTTACTGGTGATTGCATGCTTTGGAATTTATTTAACAATCATAAAAAACCTATATAACAAGAAATGTTCTAAAAAAAAAAACTTTGCACCAAAAAAAAATAAGAGTGGGGCCAACTGTTGAAGTCTGTCCAAATAATACCCACCCAATACTAAACACAGGATGTCGTGAAATGTCGCAGCCATCATTCAGAACCAAATGCTTTGCATAAACTGAAACTAAAAATCTATGAATTGTCCTCCATTGTGTTTAATCCCTTCATATTGTATTCATAGAATCAGTAGACAATTAACAAGAAAAATAAGGAGAGTAGAGTCAGCGGACACAAGATTGCATAATTTTAAGATAAACCCATGGGGAATTCCCAATACTACCTAAGATACTCGTAGGCCCATTGGATGATGGTAATTTTGATAGAGAATGAAATTTTCATTCTTAAATTTTAAATTAATATGTTTGGAGAGTTAATTATTCAGTAATCTAACACAAGAGTAAGATTACTACCATAATCTAATTTCCAATAATAGTGGGTATTCTAAATTCATGGTCAATGGTGGGTGGTAATCTCGTACGATTGGGTATTCTATATAAGGAATAAAAATTCCAAAATGAAAACTCCTTAAAATTAACTTCATTTCAAAAATTAAATATAAGATTACCATGGTAATTAAAACTCGGGCCTCTCATTATCAATTCTCAATTAAAACTACTGTCATCCAAATGTGTCAATAGGATAGGATAGGATAGTTAAGAGAAAATTATAAATTATTCTCAAAACAAACCTAACAATGAGGATACAACAAGACCATGATAAAGAGCCCTCCCCTTTGTCCATCTGCCTGCACTCTATGCACACCATTCCACTCAAGATAAGTGCTAAAATTGAATAACTATTTGGCATCAATTTACTTGCCCATCAAAGTTCAGATTCTCCATTATGCGGACGCAGACGACGAGTTGTGTCCTCAATGTAGACGATCGCATTTTGATCTCCTCGTGAATGCGTGTAGCCCTTTCTGAAGCTCAAAATTGTCTGCTTCTTTTTCTTGAAATAAGTAAGCCCGTTCACTTTCATTACAACCAACTTCAATCCCATATTTCTTGCCAGACGTACGTCCAACATGTTCTGCAGTTGCTTCAGCAGTGTATCTAGAAACTTTAGGCCCTCCTTCAATTTCTGACAAGCATCCCGAGGAAGCCCCAAATTTCTTGTTCCCCTTATAATAGAGGTATTATTGCGAATCATCTTTACATGGACGATATCTGCATTTTGCTCAACATGATACCGACCATGTTGAGAATCTCCCCTGACATCCTTTCCGTTTTCCTCAATAATTCCTCTCACAAAGTCCATGGACCTAGAATTCCTCCCCGTTTCAAACTCCTTGGGGCTTCCAGAATGTATGAAACTCTTAAAACTCACTGCACATGGTGGGGCAACAATTTCCTTGATTTCGATAAAACCCAACTTTTTCCTGAAATTTCCAGACAAAAGGGGCACACCATTTTCATTGATAGAAGCTTTACCTCTCAAGCTCTCTAAAGAACCTGCAAAACCCACATTAGGCTTTTGGTAACTAAGGATATACCATTAACAAACAGGAAAATCTCAGAATTGGGGTCTCTCCAATTCTGCAGCAATATCTCAAATGGGGTTCTGTTGTAACTTGTAAGTAAAACCCACATTAGCTTCCAGCAGCAAGTTGTTTCCACTGCAATGTAATAGATACCATTTCAGAAAATTGCAGAAACGATGTTGAAACTCAGCAACAAAATTTTCTAATATTTCCTTTTTTTCCCAGTAATTTGAAACTTCATAACTGGCCTCAGTTGAAAATAATATATTTTTTGTCTTCAAAGATATTCAAATTCTAATAAGAAAGAAGAAAGAAAATCAAATTCCACAGGAAATCTAAACAGAACTTTACTAACTGCATCTGAATTGGTTTTCATAAATTCTCAACCAGTCATTTCCCAATTTTCTCTGCTTTTGCTAAACTGTAAAGATTACCTAAAACTTGGTCTAATTGTACAGCTTATACTTCTACATAATCTATCGGGTCTCTGAGAAAAAAGACAAATACGATAGAAAATAACATCTATACTGGAATGTTTTTCTCAAGTAATTTTAGTTCCCAAAAACTGGGAAATGTACAAATCCATATGTCATTTCCACACTAAAATCAAAACCAAAACAAACCAAGCAAAAACCATTTAAGAGAACCCAAAGATCTCTCTCCTCTTTCTCTCACTCACACATACATTAAGTAGAAGAGAACTTGCCTGAAAAAGAATTGGAGTTTCGTGGGACATGACATAGAGAAACGGGTGGCTTCTCAGAGTTCTTGGAAGCACAGAAGAGGGGATTGAAGGGTCGATCACATCTGGAGCTGAAGATCCGAGAAGCGTGATCGAACAACCCGGCCCTAACAGACCCGAAATAGTGGTCGTTGGGCAATCATGAGTTCAGTTGATAATCAGGGTTTTGCTGGGCGGAGACTAATAATGGTTTTGATTCTTTTGAAACAGAGAAGCGAAGGTGTGACTGTGTGAGAAAGAAACTAGAGAGAGAAAACTAGTAAAGTATAGAGAGAGAGAGAGAGAGAGAGAGAGAGAGAGAGAGAGAGAGAGAGTTTTTGCGTCGAGGTCCAGGGTTCAACTGGGGTTCGGCTTTTCTACCGTAGGCAGGAAATCTCAGGACATGCCGTTAAGTGGAACGGTACTGTTTGATGTTTTATGTAATTTTTTTATTTTAACAGTTTATACCAAAAACTACATCGTTTTTGGTTCTTGAAATTTCAACCTTGAAATCCCTTCTTCTTCGATAGACTTCAACAGCAAAGCTTAAGTTCAGAAAAAAAAAAAAAAAAAAAAATAGCAAAGCCTTGCGACAGCAGCAGATTTGGACGACTTCAGGCAAGATTTGGACGACTTCAGGCAGCTCCGACTTCAACTAATGTATGTTCTCTCTCTGTTAACAATTGTCATATATATTGTCTCACAACTCAAATTTAATTCCATGAATATTTGATATTGAAATTAGAGATGTTTTCATGAAGAAAATTGGTGATAATTTTGACATTCTTCACATTATAGTTGAAGCACACAAGCTAATTGCTATCTCGTCTCTCTCTCTCCTTCAAGCAAATCTCTCACACACACCTTCCCACTCTCCACCTGTACTAGAAAGGATTTGGTATAGACACCTATAGAAAAGGCAATGAATGTGAATGTGGAAAGTATTATTCGTTTAGAAGCAAGGCAAGGCTTTGCTGTTTTTTTTTTTTTTTTTTTGAATTGAGGCTTTGCTGTTGAAGTCTAACGAAGAAGAAGGGATTTAAGGTTGAAATTTCAAGAACAAAAAACGATGTCGTTTTTGTTATGTATTGTAAAAAAAAAAATTATATAAAACATTAAACGGTGTCATTCCACTTAACCGCATGTCATGCAGTTTCCTGCCTACCGTAGAGGAGTCGAACCTGGTTCAACTGTGTATATTACTATAGTTAGATCGTCAAATTTCAAAGTAGTTATAATTAGGGCTGTCAATGCGTGGGGCGAGGGGAAGAGAGAATTGATATCAAAAAATATTTTATTCATATTTGTTTTGTTTAATAATTCGTATTTAATGAATTGCATTATCTCTTGTTTATGTTATTTATAATTGTGTATAATTTATGCTACTTATAAATGTCAGCATGTGTGAAAAACTTTTAATTTCTTATTTCACCCTTAATTATTATCATAAAATCAATTATACCCACATATCTATATAATAAAACAGGAGTATGTTTAAATTTTATTCCAGTCATATTTTTTTCCTCAAAATGATCACTAATCACTTACCTTCACTCATCATCCCTTTGTCAGACTCAAACATCAAATCACATCACATCACTCATTTTTTCCCTAAAAATATCACATTACTTATTTCTATCATATATTTAATCATTTAATATTTGATTAATCTGTAATTAATATATTTTGAAAAAATTTAATATAGTAGGATCGATTTTTTGGACGCTCGAATTTTTTATTTTATCGTGTCTTCAGGCACGAGGTATGACTAGTTTTCCTAAATTTCATACGTATTTGACTTTTAAAATATTAGTTAGATAAATTTTATCTGTATGACTTGATAGATAAACTTTATCAAAATATTAGCTATATAATTTTTATCTCTATGACTTGATAGATAAATTTTATCTCTATGATAATACATTCTTTATTTTCTATTCAATTGTACAAACTCTACTAAAATTCTAATATCACATATTGGTAATTTTTAGGTGATACATATAGATATATTTTTTTTGTCTTTTCTACTTAATAAACTTCTAAAATATTTTGAATTCCTTTATATATATATACTAGTCATAACCCGTGCATAAAAACACGATAAAATATAAAATTCAAGTGTCCACAAAATTTATCATATTATATTAATTTTTTTTAAATATATTAACTACAGATTAATCAAATATTAAATGATTAAATATATGATAGAAATTAATAATGTTATGTTTTTAGGGAATAAATATATAAATAATTAAACATATGAAAGAAATAAGTTATGCGATTTGACGTTTGAGTCTAACAAAGGATGATATGTGAGATAAGTGATTGGTGATGGTTTTGAGGGGTAAAATATGAATGGGACAAAATTTAAACACACTCCTGTTTTATTATATATATAAACTTTATCTTTATGACAATACATTTTTTCTTTTGCATTCAATTGTACAAACTCTACTAGAATTATAATACCACATATTGGTAATTTTTAGGTGATACATAAGCATATATTTTTTTGTCTTTCCTACTTATTAGACTTCTAAAATATTTTAAATCCCTTCATATATATATATATATAATTAGATAGGATTCTATAATCACATGAGATCAAACTTTTCAGCAAAATTATCAAATAAGTTTTTTCTTTCATTCACGTTAGAGTTAAAAGTTGGCCTGCCATAGTCATTTATTTGAAGTCTTATGGTCTTCATGCTCTTCTGTGACAAACTCAATGAAGTCAAAGTTGTAATTTTTGACATAATTGAGATTAGTTTATTAATTCTTTTGTTTTAGTTTATTAATTCATGTGTTTACGTTAATTCCTATGTTTTGTGGCACTTAATTTTTCTTAATTTAATGTCAAGCAACATTATAAGAGATTGGTATAGCAGGTCAAGAATTCGGTATAATAATTGTTGTTAGTTGATTAATTCTTATGTTTTCGTTTATTAAATTGGTGTGACGAGTCGAGTATTCGGCATAATTGATGTTAGTTTATTAATTTATATGTTTTAGTTTATTAATTCCTATGTTTACATTAAAATTTTCTATGTTAGCGTTTCTTTCTTTTTTCACAACCTCTCGTGAATCCAATTTTTCATTGCTCATATAACTAATATTTTGAAAACTTGTTCAAATCTCCTATAATATTGACCTAATTATTCTTAATTTTTGAATTGATGGTAAATTCCAACATTTATTGAGATCAACAATCAATCCAACAATAAATAAATTAAATCCAACATTTTTTGGGTATTTTTGTATGTACCATGTTTTTTAGTATTTTTATCATTTATTGGCTAAAATTTATCAAATTTTGAGTTAAAAGATTAAGTATTTTTTTTCTTGGTATTTTAATTATTCACTTACCTTTACAAAAAATAATTTAATTTTATTACTCATCAACTTTGCATTTCAAATAAATTTAATAACAAATTAATGATCTAAATTTTTTCACGTGCAACGCACATGTGCATTGCTAGTCATTATAAATGTGAGTTATATCGTGTATTTTTTTGATTGATTTTACCTATTTACGATTTGTTTATTAATTGGGTCAAGTCAAGTCTCCTCATTTACAAAACTAGTTATTTTAAAAAAACTTAAACTCTCTAATTTCGAATCGTATTTGTTTCTTTTTAACATGTTGTTTTGTATTTTAATTCCCCTAGCTATAGTTCAAAGCATCAGCCAGAGGCATAGGACTAAAATTAAATATCTAAATATGAAGTATTATAGTTGTTAACATTTTTGCATATTTATTCAAGACTTCCTTTTGGTGTATTTAGTGAGCTATGAAGTAAGTGCATACTTCATATGGAAAAAAAAAAAAGATTAATTACATTTTAGCTCTTTAAAACTATGGGTTAAGTTTTACTTCACATATTTTAGTATCGATTTAAACACATTATAGTACAAAATTGTTAAACTTTATGACACTTTGAATAAATTATCACCTGTTGTTAATTTTTGAATGGTTAGTTTATTTTTTTTACAAGGCAAAGGTTTCAAGCTAAGTTATAGACTATTTAATAAACTACAAAAACTTATTGAATTGATGGGAGTTGTAGATGAAATGACTGATGAGTGATGACCAACAACAATGGTTTTTCAAGATTCAAATAATGGGAGACTTAATATCCCGATTTAATGATGTGATAACTATCATACTCTATTATAAGTGAATTCACTAACACACGCAACATCAGATCGGACAATTAAATAGCGTAACGGTCTCGTATATGTTATGGGAAATAGAGAAGATTTAATATTCTAGAGAATATCCAAAAATTTAGGGTGTTTGTCGCATGCATTCCCTTGTGGGAAATGCATTTATGATGAGGTATATTAATACCTTCGTATATGTATACCTTAGCATGTAAGTGAGCCTTTGTTCATTCATCAAATGTAAACCAGAAAAAGAAGACAGTATGGACGAGGCATACTTCTATCATGTCCCTGGCAATGACAATGCAGCTGGTAATCTCTCTTGCCTGTCTGAGTCAATATGTGGGATAACACTATTGTACCTCTTCGGTATTTTACCGAAAATTGTTGCCAGCAGTAGATCTTGTCTTGATTTATTTGTACCCTTTGATTGTGAAAATAATAATTATTTAATTGGTGAAAAATAAGAGGTTTGGTACTAAACAGGTAACTTTTCAATTCTATAGTTG